GCGCCAAGCCCTAGCGTACACATCCGACGGTGAACAATTGTTGTTTTGTAGCCAATCTGCTTCGGTGGACGGGATGCGATGGTGGCAGATAATCAAACAGCATTGGAGGTCTTGTGTGCGTCTCGCATATGTGCCTGCCCCGCAGCAAAATCAGACAGTACGAGTCAGAAACAGTCTTGCATACTGCCTTGCAGGGAGACAGACAACCTTGTGCGGCCGTTCGTTGCGTACCTGAGTGGGCATAGTTGTCTTCGGCCCTAGCACGACACGAAACGAGACGGCGGCGGACACAAGGCGGCTATCCGTACGCTGGGAGAGATGGTATGAGAATCTCACCACGGCTTTCGGGCGCAGGCCAAACTGGCGCACTGACCCCCTGGCATTCGAATCCAGCACTGAGCATCGCTGGACAAGATGGGCCGAGAGCGAAGAAGCACGCAACTTCGACAGCCCAAGTGTGACGCTTGCGTAGGTCAGGGGAGGGAGGGGGGGAAGCGGAGGGAAGATTGTTGGCTTGCGTGAAGCCTGCTGCCACAGTCTCACATGGCTGTGAAAGACCTAAGAATTGCAGTTCATATAAGTATTCCTGCTCGTCGTTGGCCTATGGGGCCCCACTTGGACGTAGTGTCGCCGTGGGGTCTGCCACCGAGTCTGGTGGGATCTGGGGTTATACAACTGGTGTCAAAGGCTTCGATGGGTCCAGTTCGGGGTCTGTCTGACGGGTGCCATGGGACCTCGAAACGAACTCTGGGGTCCAACCCTCCTCGACACCTTGGTATGGATCCCAGGGAACGTAAAACACGCAGCAACGCAGCACGGAGGTCCTCGGAGTCAGACATATCCCCAGGGAAAGCATTTGAATGTAACGGGTCCCATATTGCTTGCACTGTCGCAATTCTAGAGTCTGCCAGACACTTGCACAACCGTGACGGGTACGTTTTCTTCTTGGCCGTCCTCCAGTTCTTGGTAGCATCATAGCCCAGTAGTGTGTTGTGTCCCTTTCTACGGTGCGAGTCACGCAGCAGTTAGGCCGGAATGCAGGCTCGATATTCGTAAGGCAAGGCTGCGTGCGGGTGCCTTGGATGTTTGCCCATGTTCACATTGGTCAAAATCAGTGCGTGTGGCCGCCGGCGACGGTGTGATAGCACGCAATGGTGCGATGTGAACCAACTGGTTGCTTGCAGCCTCCAGTCGCACGGTTGTGGATGCTCCATCCAGCATGATGTATCGACCACCATGTCTTCTGCGAATCGTTCTGCCGTGACGCATGGCGGTGCGTTTTTTACTCGTAGTTGTTCCCTATGACGTGGTGCCAACGACGACTTGCCCCAGAACTCGCCATGTGTACGAAAGGGGGGAGTCCCTGCCCCCTCAGCCCACCTGGAGGCCGGCCATGTCTCGCAGGGCGGTCTGCCCCCCGAAATCACAACGCGTCCATCCCTGGTATGACGCTTCCAAATGTCCAGCGTAGGTCTGTCCCTCACGTCACTCAGTGTGTCATGTGTCGCAGTATCTGCTGACACTATGACTACAGAACACGACGGCAAGTAATGAGCCCACTCCACCTGCGCCTGCGCGTCGCCTGCCCCCCTGCGTCCTGAGTGCGTAGTCAAGATCAAGTATTCTACTCCGCCGCCAGCAGCCTGTGTCGGGCATTCGCCTGCGACATCGATCGTGCAACGTCCGTGGCATACTCAGTCAATGGATCTTCAGTTCGAATGGCCAGAACGACTACTTGATGTTTTCTACGGGCCACTGCATGGGCCCTGTCGCCGTTGGAAGCTGCAACGTTCGGATCTTACATATGGTATGTTTGGCATACTCTTGTATTCGTTGACGTCGGAACCGAACAGCTCATAATAGGATCGCTTGGTAGGATTTGCAAGCACCACGGGGAATTCGCAAGATGGTCCACCAAGTGCTGCCTGTTGTGAGATCTGGCTACGCATGCATGACATCCTCCCGTTGGGGGCCGCCCACGCCTTAGCTTGTGCTGCCTGCTGCCCATGGCTGCTAGCAATGCGAGGTCTGAGAACAGCTTGCTTCTTATACTGCCTCCATGCACCATTGACACACGCGCGGTCGGGCATGACAGGCTGGACAGGAGGGTCCACTAGCATGCCGCGACCATCTGTATGTACACGACCGGGTGCGCCACACTGTCGGACTGCGTCAAAAGAAGGCTCGAGGAGGGGACGAGGAGAGAAGAGGGAGGAGGGAGGAGGGATCGGATCGGCCTTCTACGAAACAAGGCGCACGACCTTGACAGCCCGGGGTGTGCGAGGCTACATGCAGCTCCACGGCCCAGGGCGCCCGCCGTGCGGGCTCCTTGCCCTCCGAACCTGAGCCAGGGGGTTGAAGAAAGAAGAGGAGGAGGAGGAGGAGGAGGAGGAGGAGGAGGAGGAGGAGGAGGAGGAGGAGGAGGAGGAGGGGGGAGGAGGAGGAGGAGGAGGGGGGAGGAGGAGGAGGAGGAGGAGGAACAGAGGGGACCCAGAGCCCCTCATCTACAGAAGAGCGGGCACCTCCCAAGGGTACAGCGCCACCCACGCCCTGCACAAGGAGCAGCAGGCGCGGACACCTCTTGAAGATACACTGCCGCCACGCCCTGTACACGGACATAGGCGGAGGGCTGATGGGGCCCAGCCCACCGCCTGCACAGCCTCGCAGAGGCCAAAAGATGTGGACCAGGTGCGGGCATTTCCACGGGCACAGTGCCACTACACCCTATGCATGGGGGAGCGGGGTGGACGACCGAGGCGGCCTACCACCCGCCTCGAGCAGAGCAGACAGTGAGCCAGCTCCAGGCAGACCGAGATGACACAAAGGGGAAACAGGCGCGCAAGACACACATGAGGCTCCGGAGGCCATCGACAAGACAGGCGAAAGCCGTTCGCAAGACGGACGTGAGGCTGCAGGTGCCATCAACAGAACAAACGTCAGACGTTCACCCTAGCCGCAAGTATGTGTTCGTTGTGTTAATCGTATTTCTCTTTTTCCTCGTCTTCCTCTTCTTCTTCCTCCCCCTCCTCAGAAAAAAAAACCCGAGCCTGCGACCCAAGCGGGGGGGGAACCACGGCGGGATTGGGATCCCCAAGGGAGGGGAGGGGCCCAGTTCCACCACGGCTTGCCCCCTCCCCCGGAGGAGGCGCCCCAAGCTTTGAGAAAGAGGGCCCCGCCTCCGCCAGTCCTTGGGGATGTCACCACCCACCAAACCACCCCGACCCAACCCGAAGGCCTCCATTTCCAAGGGAGGGGGGGGGGTCGGGGAACATTGAAAAAACACATGGAACCCGTACCCCCCCAACCCGAAGTTCGGGCGAAATTCGGGTCTTCGGGTTGGGTTGGGATGTTTTGGTAGCTAATCAGGATGGTCACCCGTGTACTTACCCCCCGCCCATCCAGCGGCACCGACCACCCAGTCAGCCTCCAACCGGCGGGGGGGGGGCCCCGGCTATCTCCGAGTCCTTCACGGGGCCTTACTATCCAAGCAGGGGGGGCAGGGAGGAGGGAGGAGGGATGAGGAGGGAGGAAGAGGAGGGAGAAGGAGGAGGAGGAGGAGGAGGAGGAGGGAGAAGGAGGAGAAGGAGGAACATGAGGGAGGGAACATGAGGAGGAAGAGGTGGAGGAGGAGGAGGAGGAGGAGGAGGAGGAGGACGACGACGAGGAGGAGGAGGAGATGGAGGGACATGAGGGAGGGAACAGGAGGAGCAGAAGGAGGCGGAGGTGGAGGAGGAGGAGGAGGAGGAGGAGGAAGAGTAACGTGAGGGAGGGAACATGAGGAGGTGGAGGAGGAGGAGGAGGATGACAAGGAGGACGAGGAGGTGGAGCGACATGAGGGAGGGAACATGAGGTGGAGGAGGTGGAGGAGGAGGAGGAGGAGGACCAGTGTGAACTCAAGACGCATCAACGATGTTGTAGTAAACCCTCCCTCCAAGCCCCCCCTTCATGTGCCCCTTCAAAAATTATTCCTCTCGCTTTGCGGGGTGCACGTCCGGAGGACGTACAGTCCAGTCGTTGTCAGGCCTCTGATGGGAGCTTCTTGGGGGCCCCTTGGAGGCCTCTTTGGGGCCTCTTGGGTCCTCGCGGGGGCGTCTGGGAGGCCTCTTGGGGGCCTTTGGGAGGCCTCTTCGGGGCCTCTCGGAGCCCCGTGTGGGCGTCTTGGGGGCGCTCTTGCGCTGTCTGGTCCCTTCAGAGACTGTCTTGGGGTACTCTTGGGCCGTCTTGGGGGCTTCTTGGAGCATCTCGGCGGCCTCTTTGGGCTGTCTGGGGACCCTCTTTGGCAGTTTTGGGGCCCCCTTGAGGGCTTCTTTGGCCGTCTGGGGGGCACTTCGGAGGCTGTTTCGGCCGTCCTGGACCTCTGAGAGTCGAAATAGGCGGGAACGTTGAAATCTTCAAACAACCAGAGGCAAATACGATGCCGCTGCCCTTCCCACATCGCCACGGCTGGATTCGCTTCGAAATCCGGGTCAGGACGCACCCCGCGAGAGGTTCAAGGAGTAGCGGTATGGGCGTCCTTTTGCTTCCCTAGATGGGAGAAGGAGGGACGAGGCGGAAGAGGAAAAATCATATGGCATGTGCTTGAGAAGGGGCAGGGGGACGAGGAAATGGGGGAGAGGATGGGGCAAGGGGGAAGAGGAAGGGGAAGAGGGAGACGAGGAAAAGGGGGAGGGAAATGATAAGGGGAGAGGAGAAAGGGGGAGAAGGTGGAGGAGGAGGAGGAAGTTGTCTGGGTCAGCATGAGTATCTCGTGTTGCTGGCCTGTTTTTCTGATGCACGGTCATCTTGGAAGAGGAGGATGAGGATGAGGAGGATGTGAAAGAAGATGAGGAAGAGGGGGAGGGGATCGATAAGGAGGAGGAGGAGGAGGAGGAGGAGGAGGAGGAGGCGGATCAGCTGAAGGAGGAGGAGGAAGAGGAGGAGGAGGAGGAGGAGGAGGAGGAGGAGGAGGGGGGAGAGTGGGAGAAGCAGGATCAGTAGCAGGAGTGAAAGGAGGTCGGCCCAATCGCCGTTTGCAGGAGTAGCCAGGGAGGCGGGAGGAGATCACGTCGGGGGGACGATGGCCTCAGGACGTGAGCATACTGATCTGCCAGTTTGCGGGTCCCTGCTGCGTCGACAGGTTGGGCTGTGCAGGTCTCCCTCCTCCTCTCCGCTGCCCCGCCCCCCGCCTCCTCCCCCGTCCCCCCTCCCGCTGCCCCTGCCTTTACCCCTGCCTCAACCCCCCTCGCCCCTCCCCCTGCCATTGTCCCTGCCTCCACGCCTGCCACTCCCCATCATCTCTGCCCATCCCCCTTGTCTCTTCCCTCCCCCGCTCTCCTGGAGGCTTCAGAGGCCTCGAAGGCCCCAGAGGTTCCGGAGCTCCCTGAGGACCCAGAGGCCCAGAAGGAGGAGAATGATGAGGCGGAGGAGCAGCAGGAGGAGGAGAAAGAGGAGTTGGATGATGATGACGACGCCGACGATGATGATGATGGTGATGACGATGACGATGACGATGCTGCTGCTGCTGATAATGATGATGATGATGATGATGATGATGATGATGATGATGATGATGATGATGATGATGATGATGATAATGATGATGCTGACGATGATGATGAAGCTGTTGCTGATGCTGATGATGAGAAAGAGGATGATCATGATGATGATTATGCTGATAATGATGCTAATCATGATGATGGTGATGAAGATGATGCTGCTGCTGATGATGACCATGAGGACCATGACACTGACGATGCTGATTCTGATGATGATGATGACTATGCTTATGTTCAAGATGAGTATATTACTGCTACTGGTGATCATGGTGGTGAGGATGATTATGATGACGATGATGAGGCTGATGACGATGACTCTGATTATGATGATGATGCTGATGATGATGGTGATGATGGTGACGATGATGATGGTGATGTTGCTGATGATGATGCTGATGATGATGAAGCTGATGCTGATGCTGCTGATGATGAAGAGGATGATGATGATGATGATGCCGATTATGCTGATGATGCTGCTGATGATGATGATGATGATGATGATGATGATGGTGATGCTGATGCTGATTATGGTGATGATGATGCTGATGATGTTGTTGATAATGATGATGGTCTTGATGATGATCATCATGATGAACATCATGATTATCATGCAGATTATGATTGTGATGATGGTGACGATAACGATGCTGA